TTACCTACAGGTTTATTCAAGTTTTATGTGTATATTTTCCTTTCTGCTACGGCAAATCGCATTGATCTTCTCGGATGGGGCTCTCATAGAGGACCTTTCTGTGATCAAAGCTGTAGTCGTAGTCCTTGCGCTCTAATATTATAGTTATGATATCATAACTATGGTCATCTGTAAATAATTTTCATCCTTCTTTTTTGTCTACTTGTTCCGCGTTAGCTATTATCAAGTACATATAGACACCTTGCAAAATGGAGAGCGTCAGCCTCGTTGAAAGTGGTTAGGTATTCTTCGGCAGCCCATACCAACAATACCTTTTCGCTTGGGATTGCTGAGCTTAGGCCTACGTCGCCAACGAAGCTTTGAAGTCTTTTACCATCACCCTTATTTCCGAATCTCTGCTTATGTCGCTCTTGATTGCTTTCGGTTGTTTTCAGATGTTTCTATGGATTTCTTCTGGCTGTGGTACCATTGAACATTCTATCGAAGTGACCTATATTTACCCGTATGAAGCTTTTAGTTTTCTTTCATCGTCTTGCTCTAACACACCAGTTGTGTTGAGCAATCAGATTACAGTATCCTTTTGATCAGTTACTACCCTGATTTACTTTTTGTCTTGATACTAGGATCGAACATTAGGTATCTGTTTACATTCCTCTTTTGTATTGTCGTTTCCATATCGTGCGTAATCCTACTACGGTTTACGTTCACTCGTAGAAGTTAAATTATGTTAACAGTTTTCTGTAAATTGTTCCCTCTGCTGGCAGCACCGGTGAGTCCTTCAATCTCTGATTTTTAGTCATCTCCCATTGTTATCTTCCTTCTATTATCTAAATGTTATTGTTAATTTAGACGATTGGCTCTTTGGTGTCTTGCCTAGACCCTAGACATTTGTACTAGACTGGTGGTGCTCTTGGTCTTTCCTTAAAGTCGATTCCATTTTAGGACACGCCATCCAGCGCGCTCAATGTCTACGTTCATGAAGGTTGCACGACGTTTTGAAGCCAATCGTGTATTGTTTATCTGTATGATCCAGGACATAACGATTACGGCAACTGGTGCTGGAGGTTTCCTTATGTACCTATATGAATACGGTACGCAACGGTCTTGTAGCATTTTTGGCACTGGAAGAGGATCATATTGCGGAGACCCTGCGTTACGACAAACCGATGAAATATACTTTTTCATTTGGAATAATTGGCCCGGTTACCTTCTTAATTTCACAGTTGTTGACTATTCCTCTAGCGTTGTCTTTTTCGAGTTAATGACTGCCAATGTTCCTTCAGCTGGCATGTCGACTTTCTGCTTTTACTGTTTTCTTTTAATAGAGTACTTATAACCAACCTTGTACCGAGTTCTTAATAACAGCTTTATAGACATCTCCTTTGGTTCTTATGGCTTTGCGAAGGTTTTGCGAGCTACTGTCTACGTTTCTTTCTCGTAAAGTCTGACCTTACGATTGTTAGTTGGCAGACGTTTTTAATAAACATTCCCTTCGAAGTTTTCCTAATGGATATCCTTTAGCATGTCTACACACTTAGAGTATTGCTTTTCCTTCTCATCCGAAACCTTTTCCACGTCCTTTGGTCTCTTGCATATGCCTTGATTAAAGAGATCAATCTTAACCTTTGCTGTGAGGTGTACTTTATAGTTTTGTTTCTAGGATCAGGTCTATTATGCTCAGCCAGACGGTAGTTACTCGTTGACACTCAGCATGTTAACTGCTATATTACCTATCCTCTTTCGATTTTTTTTTTGGGTTTGGTTAATGTAAATAATCAGTTTGTCCGAAATTAGAGTGTTGTTGACGCAAGCTGGAATACCACTTTTCTTCGAAGTCTTCATATTTTTAGTCTTCCTATTATAACGACTGCTCTAAAAATAACTAGATCTTTGTGGAAGCAAAAAAGGATATCGAAATTTTCTAATTGCCAGGCACTATTATGATCTACAATATTAACAACGTTGACCTTTAAATGCGGGATCGGAGAACCGTTTCTCAAATGATTTCATTTGACAACATAGAAGCCGCAAGTTTTTTGAATTATTAAGGTCTGCAATTTCTATATATGACCGAAACATTGTCACCTGTACAGGATGCTGTTCTTGCTTGACGGTGTAGCTAACAACGCTACTCCGCGTAAAGCTTCTTAACATCCACTCCGGGCAAACTGCTACGAAATAATGATAACAAATGTTCTAAATATCTTTGGCATGTGTTATCATATGAACTGGCACACAATGAATTTTCACTGTATTATAAATAAAATAGGTTGTCTCAAATGTATACTCAAGATTACTAGCGTCAAAGTCTTGTCAGGATTTGGCAAAGACGAACATCAAAAATTATATATAACAACACTTTTGCCTTTTTCATTGTAAAACTATCAAATTGTTCAGAAGGCCCTTACGCGTATTATTCTCGATTTTTCTCAAAGGACTATCAGTTTGTGACGTTTTGAGGTATTTTCAATAGCAAAGCGGTATCAGTTGAAGGGCCGTAACGGTTTTTGACTGGAGAAGAACACACACACGCGTCCCCAAAACCAATCGTTTTAATGTACTTTCGAGCATCCTTTCAGCCAGCTGATTGAACGTTTTGTTTCTGAAGAATATGATAACTTTGCAAAAAGGTGAATGAATGAAGTAGTTTAAACCTAAATGCCATTACTAATCACTAAAATATGGCCCGCACAGAGCTGTCGTTTTAATAAAACGCTATTTGTAATATGTTATCAGTTGACAAATCCGTAAAACTTTAACATCTCATAAGTAAACGAAGGAGCAGAGTTATGAGTCGGCGGAAAAACATGTATAATTTTGTTTGTGTATATAAGCTTCAAACTATCAACCCTACACCTAATAAAGGTATATGTTTATAGTCTTTTTCAGTCAATCTTGCAGTACATTTTGGCCATAGCAACTGTTTTGTTTGCACGGTCAATATATTTTATGAAGCAAATTTAACGTAACTCGAGTAGCGTAGCGCTGACAGATTCGAACGGCATTATGGCTCATAAAAACATTTTAAAAACTATGAAATGTGCCGAAAAGCAGCTATGCCTCTCTACTAGCCTATTCTACACGTGTTTTTTGCACATAAAAAAAAAAGTAGAGAAACGAGCATGCTGTGACCATATCTGTTGTCTCGTAACTTTCAGCCAGAACAAGTGCACGTATTTTACTTATTATGTACTTTAACTAGCCTACTTCAGAGTTAGAGAGCTGTGACGCCTTTGAATAAAGCCTTTGATTAGGCTAAAGTTGAGTTCAAGCAAGGCAACGTGTGACTTAAGCACAGACGGCTACGGTTAATACGTCTATTGTAAGATATTACAAATACAGTTCAATACATGTTTCATATAAAGTTCTTGTAACAGATTTATGATAAAGCAGGCCTTCATGCGCTTCTTGAGTCAAATATCTACCAGGGATAAGCAATACAAGTGATCGTAACTAAAAAAAAAAAACTAGGAAAGTATTGGAACCGTCTGATATTCTAGATAGAAACACTTACAACAGTTTCAGCATACGGAACAGAATAATAGCTTCCTTTTTATAGTATTTCAACACAACACATTACGATTTATTATAATAATAATTATACAATTAGAATAATTATTTGTTAAAAATAATCGTTATTTATTACTTAGTGGTATTCTATGTATGCATGATAGAGTTAAACGTTCGTATCCAATGATCGTTCTTCCTGTCGCACGGTCTTTCTTTTTATACCCTATTTATGTTTCGATTCGATCCGTCAGCCCTGTACAGTATCTGAAAAGATATCAGACTCGAGCTGATTTCTTTGTCTAAATGTTATCTCCAACCGAGGCCATTTCATCTTATATGAATAACGCTATCCGACTATCATGTATGGACGAGAGAGAAATCAAATCAAATAAATAAATAAAGGTAATGCTAGAAAAGTTATAAAAACGTATATAGACTGTTGCGGGCACGGTGTAACCCGTACAGAGATATTCTACGACGCCTTAAGTCATGTTAATAGATATCGCCGCTGTAACTCAGCATTGAACCAGAAAATGGCACATTTAGATACATAGAGTGAACGCTAGCTTCATGAATTTATTATTAATACTAAAACAACTCTCTCTCTCTCTCTCTCTATACCGGCTTCCTGTTAACTAGAACGAGTTAACATCAGTAGTGCGACGCAATAAAACACAAATTAACTTGTTCTGTCCTTTAGTTTTTATTATTCAAATTAATGGTAATACTTACTATTACTTATTTCTTCGAAGACCTTTTAGGCAGCTTTTTTTTTTTAACTACGGCGTTTATCTGGTCCTTCTCTTTGCATGTCTTCTGCTTCCCAAAGTAACGACAACAACTAATCAACAAAGAAAGTGACACAACTTTGCCACTCTCCCAGACCCGTCCATAGATGTCTGAAACTCAGAAAAGCTCCGAGATGTGAAACTTTTCTGGCAAATCGCGCCCCACTAGGCCGCGTTTCTATTGGTCATTCCTTATTTCGTAACGTAACGTAACGTAGTTAGACCTTCTATGCGGCCTCGGTGAGTCCATGCTGGCACTGCATGATGTCGGTATTACCCTTCTCTGTCACAAGATCACTGTGGTGTACCAGCGGCGGCATTGGCGTCATGCCGTCTATGTTGATTCTCCGAAATGTGGGCCAATTCGACTGTTGGCTATGGGCTTAGCCTAGAGAGTGAGGGCACAGAAAGGCGAGGGTGCACAGGCAACTGTTGGTCGTTTAGGTATCGGCCCTGGAGTTGGGGTAAGCGCGTCCCCGAAGGGGACCCGAGAACCAAAGGAGGTGCTGACGCCGAAGCGTTGGTACCGGGGGTAATAGCGGCGGCCGCGGCGGCGGTGGTGGTGGTGGTGGTGATGGTGGTCGCCGCCGCCCCAACGGCGAGGGGCATCGCGTCAGGTGGGGGAGGGCGTGCTTGGCGGACCGAACCGCGCGATCAGTCTGAGGCCATCGCTCGACGAAACGGAACCATGCAGCTCTGGCTTGCAACGCTAACTCGGCAAGATACAAGAAGGCAACGGTAGTCCCCAATTCTGCGTTTGTGGAAATCTAACCCGCTTACAAAAAGAACACAGATGAAAACATAAACGCGCAAGTGTATATGCGTGTTACTATAAACAATGTAAGCAAAGCTTTAATGAAACTGTGTTCGTTTAGCTATCGTTTTTGGGGGTGATGTGCTTTGTCACAATAGTATGCATCTTCTGTTCACCAGCTGATGCTGGCGTTCTTGAGCGAAGCGGCCGTAGCCATTGTGCCGAGTTTGTTGGTGCGCATACTTGACGTTGAAGAATAAAGGTTGGTTCCAGCATTTATCATGTGGTTAGTCAATCTGTCGATTCCTGTTTAACAAGACAAAAAATTGCATTTAGCGCCTATTACGTTCGTTCTACGTTACATACGTCGCAGACTGCTCTGGCTGTACGAGCACAGGAGAGTATAATCTGTGAATTAAATAAACAAAGAAAGTACAATCTGTGAAAACAATCGCTATGGCAGCTTTATTGCCGACATTGAACTATAATATTAATTATCAGTATCATAAAAGCATAGCAGATCATCATAACCAGCAATGTGGTCACTGTGAGAACGACAAGACAAACACCGATTACGCCAACAACAATAGGAATGGCATTACCTCAGGTCAAATTATGACGACAGCGCGTTCATGACGTGAGGAGCTCTTCGTTGTTCATGACGTGCGGTTTTGTCGACGAGAGGGGAAAAGAACGATCGAGAAAAGCCAAAAGTGGCTCATAACAAAAGTTCATCAGGGCTGATTCAGCTGTTGTTAGATAGTAACGCCGACCAAAAATGTTATGGTGTTGTTAAAATTTCTATGACTATTTTCCTGTCACCAGGAAAGACAGCGAAGCGCCATTATTTTCGGCAAACGCAGTACAACATTTGCCGGCCAAGCAGTCATATCTTCACTGGCGAATACAATGTAATCGTTTGGCTGCCTACTAGCTTATGAGTAGTAATTTTGCTGCCATATAACGGTAGCATTTTCCACGGTGTTGACTATTGCCTTTGGCGATTACCGTGACAACGACAACTGTGCCGACTAAGGTTGCAGCTGGACACAGTGGAAGACCGAGGGGGGCAACACGTGACAAGCCCTCCGCATGTGGAACACAAGTGATGCCGACAAATTAAGCGAATGAGTTTTTTTTCGTTGTTTGCATTTCTCAATTGAGTTCATTGTATAAAAGGCAATATTGGATGCATTGTGAGCACAGTTGAGACTTGGCGATTCTGCGGTGGATGGAGACGGCGGAGTGAGCGTGCCCAGCTACACATCGTTCAGAGTGTAAGGGAAAACGTGTTGTTTTGTGCGTCCGTGCTAATTCTCTTATCTAACGGATTTCTTGAATTGTCTGTCACAGAGCGAATGCATATATTCTATGATGTTCTAATTAATTACGTGACATGCTAAAGGATAGTGGCGGCAAGATGATCGGTTTCTTTCACAGTGGCAAACGCCTACGTAGACTTGGATAACGCCACGAAAAAAAAACAGACATCATCGCAAAGCAACAAAGATTTATTATTCCGTCTAATGCTGCCAGCGTTCTGTACAACGTCTCCCCTTAACTGGTTAGTATCATTAGTTCAATGTAGATGAAGGATGAACATTATATTATTCAAGAGACAGTATGTACGGAACCGTTTCAAGCAGAAATCTGATAATATTGTATAGATATACGCGTACATTTGAAAGCTTAGGACGGTTACGGACTAATGAGCTGATACGTTTTAAGCAGTGAACGAAAACATAGCAAAATATCTATTTGCCATATCGGCTGTATCAAGGCATTGTGTTGGGTATACTGCTCGGTTTCTAGCAATCGTGCGTTTCACACACGTCACGATCATGTAAAAGAGTTCTTCAAACCGTTTCATTTAGCTGGTAGTGTTGACACTGGAGCCAGATCTGCCATATTCAGCAAGTAGTTAATGATGAAATAAACTGGCTAATAATTGGGTCATATCTCTTGCGTATACTAGTTTCCTGCCGAAGCTAGGTTGCTTGCTTTAATGGTCTCATTGAACTCATGGGTGGCTTTTGGTAAATTATCATCTAAAGTTTCCTTGATCGCAAATCACTGTATTATTTGTTCGAAGCTGCGGAACATTATTTGGCCATCATCAATGGATTTCTTTCTCTATGTTACAAGGTAACGCAGCACCTCGGCATAGCTAGTCCAGATACAAATTAGGTAGGTGGTAATCTTCGTGCTAACAGGTGGTTAAATTCTCGAAGCTCAGAAAGGGTGCTGGAAAGCCAAATGGTACCCAATATATGCACGACGATATAAACACACCGTCTATTCAGAACAAACGAGATTGAAGTCCGCAAAACTAGAACGAAGATTTGCCACTTTTGAATATTTTTATAGCAAATTTTATTGAACTCTTTAATTAAAAATAGCTCTATGGACAAATGACAAGTCTGCCCTCACCTTCTATAAATTATCCGCGTAACTTAATTAAAGAAAATTACAATGGATTTTCTGAGCACAAACAGACAATTGGACTTTTTTGCGGTAGGATCGGACATTCGTTTCGCTTGGAGGCTGAAGAGTTCATAAACAAACGCCTATCGTAGACCATAACATGGATGGCGCTGGAAGGTTGACATCGCGTCTAGATTCTGCGACCTATCATGGTGTTAGCAAATTACATAGATGCCTGATCGTAGCCGCTTTGGCTTTGGATGTCGTTTGGTTGGAAGCGTCAAGGCAGTATCATGCAGAGCTGCTCCGCCGGATGAGCCCCGTACCGTCGCCTAACTGCCTTTTAACGCTAGCCGTGTTCGCTGACGCTTGTTGCAGAACCAAAGAGATCATCTATCCTCGAGCCGACCGGACTCGATCAAATCTTGCATTGGATCACCGCCATATAAAAACAATAACTTTTCCAACGGCGTCTACGATTCACTGACGAGCTTGTTGATAGCGTATTATTACTGCCTAGGCGAACGAACCCGAGGGAGGCAGATATATACATCTACTGCCTGTGTGTGTATACAGACACGTACTGCTATTACGACCTGGACTAATTTAGTTATTATTATGTTATGGGAAAAAGCAATGTGATACGATTCTTCGGATCCTTCACTGCAAACCTGATTTCTCGCAGCTTAAAAGAAAATTAATAGATCTGTTATGATTATTTAGCGTCTCGTTGCAACGGTGGCTGTGATGCAACCGTGCGTTTCGCAGTACGATGCATACGCACTTACTTTTCGGGGTAGCATCGTGTAAAGCTTTGATGTATATTTATAAGGCTTTCCAAATATGAAACAAAACGCAGAAGCACAAGATTGCCGTTTGCTCGCCTTTGTTAACGGCTCCGGCTATTGGTAATGTGGGGGCAACAAAATAATGTTGTCTGTTGTTATTATTAGAAACCGTAATTACTAATCTAGCGATGTTCTTATTTAATGCATTTAATATTCTTAATTGTACGAAACCGCTTGGCGACAATGTATCTACTTACAAATACAAAATTGACTATGGATTTTTAGGTCACGAAATAATTTGCTGCAATATACACTGTTTGACGTCTACACATGTGTAGCAGCCACTGCGTTGAAAATTTATATGTACACTCACGTGTACACCATTTTGTCGCCAACTCTCGCAATAGCACTCACTGCTTAAGCGCTTATGGTTTCAGCAGGTTTTTTTACTACATTAGAATGTGCAGGAATATCTTACGATTTGTATTGAGGTGCAGAAATAAAATTGCGCGCTCTTAGCGTCTAACTGAGTACGTAAGCTCGCGTATTATATGTGACGTAGTCTGTGAGGGTGAAAACAGCGTAAGTATAGAAAAGCACAAAGCATGTTTGAGAGTGCGAGTAAAATGCTTTTCACTAAAGAACCGTACTTGAAGTTCTAATAAGTTTTTTTGCGCGCTTTAATTCCCAAAAAAAAAAAAAGAAAAACTTGCTTCTTCTACGAAGAGAGAGGTTTATTTGACCCAAAGTCCCGTCAACTTCAATAGCATTATCTGTCTGTTCGGTGATGAGCCACTGGTAATTGCGTACTCGTTAGTACTGTCTTATTAAATTAAGAAAACTTCAAACAATTCAATTGCTGTCGCATTCAATTGTGTTGCTAAATGCCTTAAGTTGAGCAGAGTTTTAGACAGGTGAGCGCCCGCTTATCTCATGTACAGATTGTTTTATTTCTTCAATACAATTTGTATCGAACTTGTCAAATATTTGATTTTAATTTTATTTAATTTAAATAGTTGATTTTCTTCACGAAACTCAACGTTGATTTTTTTTTTCATTAATTTTATAGTGCTAAAGTGAAGTTTATTTACGGAAAATAGGTTACATACCCAAATGGATCATTTTGTTATAAATGTAATTGTAGTGGACCGAGAAAATCAGCAGCTTGTTCCCGTTTAGCTACATTAATGCGAGGCTGTAGTTTGCCTTCTGTATAATGCATTCAAACCTTCGCATTCATAACTGGTTTTCTTTTATTGGTTATAGTGTTTTTCTCTTAGGAAGTATTGTAGGCATATATGAAATACCTGCAAGATAACGGCGGGTAAATTAGACATAAAGCTCTAGCCTTCGTATACCCTTATGGCCTTTATCAGGATGCATGTAATTCTTGCATTACTAGACGCCACTTTATTCACACATACAAGAGAAATAAAGAGAAACAATAAAGGGATTTTTCCCATTTGCAGACGTAATTTTTCCAAAAAAAAAGACTACTATTTAGGGTGGCCCTTAATTGTACGGTGATGAAAAAAATGTACCTAATAATCTCACGACTGAAACAAAGCAGGCTGGACAAACTTGTTAGACATTCAAGTCAGAAAGGTGGTGCATTAAATGAACGACTTCGAGAAACAGGCGAAAGATATGGAAGAAAGCTGTTAGTACTACGCCCAATCCGCCAACTGAAGTTGATAAGACTCTGTTTCTTGAGTGAAGTGACGTAATGTCAAAATCATGATGTACTAGAAAACTCTGATTATCGAGCATAGCATGTTGATTTTAAAATATTTCTCTGAATTCACCGCTAACCTCGTCCCAACCCACATAGACATAGTGTATGTTAAAAGTCATAAGCTATATTATTATATAAAATTTATAAAACTGTAAAGGATACTATTCAAGTACCCGATGTATGGCTTCGGAGCTAGATGATAAGTTGGCAGAAGTGGTACAACAACTGATGAAGTGGGCGTACCGTTCAAAAGAGGAGCGTCTAAGAAAAGAGCCATGCGGTTATAGCAACAAAGTAGATAAATCAAACGAAAGACATGGCTGGCCCGTGAATATCCGAAATAATACAGGATAGCGTCAAGAGGTTCACGAGTCCATACTGCTAAGTAAGTTACGCTACTGTACAAAAATTTATAAGCTAAGAAACCTTTGAAAATACTTACTTAAAATCGGCAAAGCAATCCCAACGATCTACGTCTTACATCTGTCCGAAGAGGAGGATGATGCTGAGCACATATTATGCAGGCACGCAGTTGCTAGTATCAGCACTCTTTTGCCTGAAATTAGTGCAAACGTATTTAGCCTACTATTTCAAACAATAATAAAAGCATGGGAGAATTTGGGTCAAAATCGCAGAAAAAAATTCATGGCCAGTGGTTTTGTCGTTAACCAGCTGCTTATGCTAGCGGCGGGATTAAACGCCCATGAAAGGGAATGGGGCCTGTTTCTCTAAGAAATGCCTACCCTGAGACAGTGATAATCTGTTGGACCAGTAATTTGCGCAACAGTATCCCTCATCTTTTAGTTAAAAAAAGGTATCTGGTATACACCTCAGGAAGCGGCCTATCTTCAAAAGTTGAGGGAACAGTTCACTACGTAAAGTTCTTAAAAACATATAGCTACATCTGTGCAGCTATGCATGGCAAAAGCGACCGACTTATTGGAATTCGAGGCAGAAAGAATATGGTGTTCAAAGATCCGTTGGCCAACAAAAGTTTTTATACGTTCACTCGATAACCTGGCTCTTCTGTGATTCGTGGTTTAACATCGCCTAGTATCTCTATATGTCAAAAGAACTATCTAGTTAGTATCTCCACGAATGTTCTTCCCCTCTTTCACTTCTTAAATATCTGCTGAGCACGCTGGTCTCTCCTACTGGACTGCATTTGCCAATCGGTCTCGGGAGCGCCAAACTACGTACGAGCGATAGGTTATACAACGGCTGCATAGCGTCAATAGAGAGTGGCAGTGCTGAACAGCCACCGCCAGTATATATATATATATATACTGGCAGGATAATTTTATATATATATATATATATATATATATATATATAATTACCCTGTTTTCTTGAAGAGGTAAGTTAGAATACATGGCTGTAGGAAAGAGGCAACACGACTTACGGTAGTAGTAGTATGAGCAGAAGTCAGCATCGCTTGGGTGGCCGAAGTGGGTTGCGCTGGGCAATAGACGAAGCAACCTTGACCGAACAGGGCCAACCGGCAGAGAAGATGGCTAAAACTTTTAACAGTAATCGTCTTTTAGTGAATAGCCGCGAATGGTGAGATAAGCGCAAGCGACCTTATTCTCTTCTTTTTTCTATTCGGCTGTATGAGTA